GGGGCCAGCCGCCGCGACTTCGGCGGGCACGGCGCGATGGAGACCGACTGGGACCTGGAGAGCGTGAGGGCCGCGGCGGGCCAGGCCGAGAAGTGGCGGTGGTGTGTCTCAGATGCCATCGCTGCTCGCGCCCAGACGCTCGGCCTGCCGCAGGAGCAGGGACCAAAGCGCCCAATGTCTCGCCAGGCAGGAGTCACTTTCGAACATATCACGCCAGCCAGATGGGCGACGACAGCAGCTGGCGCCTGTGCGCAAAAGGTCGTTGGCTTCGTCATGAGAACATCCTGCGTACTGAGGGGCGAGGGGTTGTACTGGGGCTTCGGCAGCGTATACGTTCCCGGGCATCCCAGGGAGCTCGTCACCTGTTCCTTTGTGATAACATGTCCATGGTGTTGGCCCTCAGCAAGGGCCGGGGATCTACTTCAACAGTCAATCGTGCGTGCCAAGAGGTTCTTGCACTCAGTTTGTTTGCCAACGTTCACTGTTGTTTCAGATGGATAGCGTCAGAGATTAACCCAGCAGACCGACCGTCGAGAGCGTGGCCATCTCGGCCCGAGCCGCGGGACCCTCGGTCAGATCCACGATCGGCATGGTACCTTGATGCTCACGCGGCCGCCGCCCGCCTCGACCTGGCGCTCGAGGGGGAGATCGACAACCACCTCCTCCGCCAGCCAGGCGGGGCAGAGGCGGCCGGCCTCTGCGGCCTCGGGGACACCTGGCTGGACGAGCCTGCTGCGGCCTTCGGTCGGCGGGTCGAGCCAGCCGAGTCGCCACCAAGTGGAGCTGCCGAGGCGGCGTGGAGCAGCTCTTCAAGCAGCTCGGGCGAGGAGGAGCCGACGAGCGACGCTGAGGCAGACGCAGAGAGTTCTGTATTGTCCACTCGCGTGTCGGGGTCCCCGGAGGGCGCGATGCCCGTTCGACGCTCCGCTATAGCTTGTCGGGTGCAGGCAGCCTTGATCTGAAGCCGTTGCCAGAGCTCAAGCCGGAGGCCTGCTTTGCAGACCTGCGCGCCGCCACGCTGCTTCCGGGCAGGCTGTGCTGTCCGGCGAGGGGGAGGCGGGGGAGGAGGAGGAGGAAAAACGCGGCGAGCAGACATACCCATGCAGGAGGAGAGGGGGGAAGGGAGGCGGCAAAGGAGCAGCAGGCAAGCAAGCGCGCACGACGGGGGCGGGCGGGGGGCGGGGGGGGCGAGGGTCGTCGGTTGCGTACGGGTGGTCGTCGTGGGTCGTCGTGCCACTGGGGGTCGTCGCGAGTCGTCGGGGGAGGGGCGGAGGGTCGTCGTGGGGCTGGGGCGGAGGGTCGTCAGGGGAAGGGGGGGTCGTCGCGGGGCAGGGGCGGGGGGCCGCGGGGCCGGGGCGGAGGGCCGTCGGGGGCTGGGGCGGAGGGTCGTCGTGGGGCTGGGGCGGAGGGTCGTCGGGGGGAGGGGCGGAGGGTCGTCAGGGGAAGGGAGGGGCGGAGGGCCAGCCGGAGCCGACGGCGACTCACACGGCGTCGGCTGCGGCCGCCGCCGTGGCCGCTGCTAGGCGCGCCGCCGCCGCGCCCGTCGACGGCTGCAGCCGCCGCAGCACCGCCCGCGCGTTCTCCCGATGAAGGGAGATTGAGAGTCGCTGGGCGTGCCGGTCCGCCACTACGGCGGCTTCCTCCCCGGTGGCGTCAGCCACCCGCTTGGCCAGGATCGCGAAAGCTCTCCTGGCCTCGCGCCCCCACCCGCCACCGTGGGCCTCCACCACCATGGGTATGAAGGTGAGGCCCTGCGCCACGCACTGGCGCTCGGTGTCCTGGCGCAGCCGCTTGAACTCCTCGTAGCGCTCCGTGGCCGCGCTGGGGGGCGCGGCGGAGGCGGGGAGGAGGTCGGCGCGAAGCCCGGAAGTGACGGCGAAGTCCCAGGCTGCCGGCACCCCGTTGCGCCACCTGGGCAGGTAGACGTCAGCGGGGCGGCGGTCGCCGGCGTCCAAGTCCTGCCCGTCCAGCTCGCCGCCCGGCGGCCCCTCGTTGGCGGCGCGCGGTGGAAGGAGCCCTGGCCGCTCCAGCTCTGCCCCCGCGAAGCCGGCCGCCTGCGCGTCAAAGAACCCCTGGTTCCGGAGCGCGTTGTGCCGCTTTGTCCTGTCGCCCCGGCAGGAGCAGGCAACGGCGTGGTCCAGCCAGGCGTCCATCACCTCTCCGCAAGCGGGGCAGAAGTCCTCCCGGTCGAGGAACTGGATTCGGAGTCGTCGCTGAACCGCCACCTGGCAGAGGCCGTGCTGGAGGCGGGTACCCGCGGCCTCGCAGGGCGGCGCTTGGAGGTGGGCGCCGGCGCCGGGCGCCTGGAGCAGGCCCAGGTGCGCCTGCGTGGCGACCGAGGCGCCCGAGCGGAGGCTAGCGAGCGCCGCGTCGTCAACAGCGTCGCTGAGTTTCTGCTGGTTGCCGTGCTGCTCCAGGTCGAAGGCCGCCCTGTCCGCGTCCGAGACGAGGGCGTTGTGGGCCTGCACAGCGTTCGCGAGCGCGCCCCCGTCGTGCCCTGCCTCGTCGGTGTAGCCCGGGTAGAGCTGCCTGCAGAGGGCGGAGCAGGCGGCCCGGGAGGCAACGTAGGCTGCGGCCGCGTGCTGTTCGCCTGAGCGCAAGCCGAGGCCCCCCTTCCGCAGCTTGAGTTGCGCCTGCCGCCAGGGCGCGTCGGTGAGCGAGCAGCCAGCCACCTGCTCGAGGCAAGCCCTCACCCCGTCGTCCAGCTCCTGCAGGGCCGCTGTGTGCGCGGTGGGCGGCACTACCCGCGCGCTATAGCCCAGCTTGCAAAACGACGCACGCTGGCGCAGGAGGTGCAGGCCGACCTGCGCGTCCTCCAGTGCCCCCAGCGTGTCCAAGAGTTCCTGTGCCGCAGAGACCCGATTCTTCGTGTGCTGGCAGCAGAAGGCGTCGTCGCCGACGGGCGCCCCGAGGAGCTCGAAACTCCTGTCCGTGCGGAGGCGGAACCCCTGCGGGAAGGCGTTCAAGTCTACTGCGCTGTCAGTGCCGCCGGCTGGGACCACCTCGCACTTCCCAGGCCTGGTGCTAAGTTCGAGTCCCACCGCTGCGAGGGCGGCGACCAGCTCGTGGAGGAGGTGCGCCACGGCGTGCCAGTCGCCCGCCAGAGTCCCGTCGCCCAGGAAGAACACCTTGAGCTCGACCTGGCCCGGGGGTGCGGGCCGGGCAGGGTGGGGAGCGGCGTGAAGGACCTGTTCTGCGCACCGCTGGAGAGCCAGCGCGAAAAGCAAAGGTTTAAGAGGGTCGCCTTGCTGGACTCCGCACTCCGAGCGGATCCTGTGCTTGCCGAGGCGGAGGAAAGACGGGCGCGAGTAGCACCAGTCGGCCCACGGCGCCAAGCAGGGGAATTCCTCGTGGAGGGCCTGGAGGAGAGCCTGTCTGTCTAAGGTGTTGAACGCGTTGGAGAGGTCAAGCTTGACGAAAACCTTCTCGCGGTGCCCCAGGTTGCGCGCCCACCACTGGCGGGCGACGTGGACAACCGCCTCGGCCCCTCCAGGCACCGCGACGCCGACTTGGAGCGGCGCCAGGCGGTCGCGCGCCGCGTCAGCGACCTCGCGGCACAGACACTTCCCAACAAGGCGCCGGAGCGTCTCACCGACGGCAACCGGCCGCAAGCCACCACCTTTCTTTGGGAGGGCCACCAGGGAGGCGCCGGCGAACCCTAAACTGCAAGCCACGGGCGGTGCATCGTCAGAAGCCCGTGGCGCCTGGCCGAGCGATCAGCGAGTCCGCCCATGCGCGCACGCCGCACCGACGAAGCGCGTAGCGCTGAGGAGGATGCGCTCCCCCGCGGGGATGCCTTGTGAGTGCTCCGAGAGATGAATAGAACCCTTAACCCTAGGCCCAGCCAGTGGGTTCGCTGCGATTGGTTCCATCCCCTGGGGCTCCAAACCTATGAAAATACAGCATGCGGCGCCCTATCGGCCGTCCGTGGGGCCGCAAACCATATGAAAATACAGCATGCGGCGTCATTTCGGCTGGCGCACGTCCAAGGCGCTCCCAAGCGCTCCCAGGCGCTCCCAGGCGCTCCCAGGCGCTCCGAAGCGCTCCCAGGCGCTCCCAAGCGCTCCCAAGCGCTCCCAGGCGCTCCCAGGCGTTCCCAGGCGCTCCCAAGCGTTCCCAGGCGCTCCCCAGCGCTCCCAAGCGTTCTCAGGCGCTCCCAAGCGCTGCCCGGCGCTTCCGGCACGCTCCCAAGCGCTCCCAATGCACCCAGGCGCATGGCGCTCCCAGGCGCTCGCAGGCGCTCCCGGCAAGCTCCCAGGCGCTCCCCGGCGCTCCTTGGCGCTCCCAAGCGCTTCCAGGTAGGTCCCATCCCCTGGGGACTGCCTTACACGTGAAAACACGCCTATGGCGGCCTCTCTGGCTGTGCTGGGGAGCGTAACGCACGTGGAAATACGCCTACGGCGGCCCCCTGGGCCTTCTTGGTGTGCCATGCAGAACGTTATGCCTGCGGCGGCTTCTTTGGCTGTGCTTTGGTGCCTTGCTGGTGCATCTAGCAGAAAACCGCGACGCGAAAAACAAAAAAAAGCGACGCAGATGCGCCGAACGGCTCCGCGGACCCAAGTGATTCGGCCAAGACCTCGTAGAGCAAGCCCCGAGGAGGTTCCAAGGGCCCGTTTTTCAAGTCCCACGGGGTTTCACGGGGGGGAGCGCGAGGGGCACGCGCCCGGCGCCCTCTCGCACTGCGCAGTCCGCCGCGAAGGGCATCACACGACGCCTTCCGTGGCCATGTACGAGGGGGCGCCAGACCCGCCCCCTCGCGCTCCCCCTCCCCGCCGTTTCGAAACTCCAGGGGTGTCGAGAACGTCAGACAATCTCTACGTATGCCCTTCCTTCTGCTTTCCTTCCCTTCCCCGACGTGGCACTGACAGACCATAATTTTTCCTAGCAGGTATGCGCGCGGTCGTGCCTTTGCACGCGACAGCGGGGCAGGCGCACCGCGTGGATACTGCGAGAGGCGAGCGGTCGCGCGCCAGCCAACGCGCGGCGCTCCGTCGGCAATCTCAGAACGCGGGAATGAAGTTCTCGCGCTCCACGTAGCCGCCGATCAGGTAGTCGTCCGACGTCGCGACACGGCTGAGCGCTGTATACCCCGCTGCTGGTCGAGGCCATCCGTCCAGGTATATAGTGATGTGGGGGAACTCGTCGCCTTGCACTTTGTCGATGGTGCTGGCGTACCCGAGGCGGATTGGAAAGTAGACCGCGTTGCCCTTCTCGCGATCGGTCCAGCGAGTAATGGCCAGACGATGGCCAGTCTTCGTCATCACGCGCAGCATGTCCTCCTCGGCGTGGTAGTTCTCCACCTCGCAAAGCATGCCGTTGACCTCGTCAGCCTCCTTGTTCTTGTTCTTCGTCAGGTACAACTTCATCCCCTTATAGATCGGCACTTTGCTTGGAACCAGCCTGCGGTCCGTGCGGAGCTTGCCATCCAGGTAGTTCTCGGGGTTGAGTTCCACGTCGCCGTCCAGCGTGGCCAGCGGGGTCTTGCGGCCGTACAGCGCAGCAGCTGCAGCCTCGTTCACGGCCGCGGCGCCCCTGCGCGTGCAGGTGACGATCCGCGTGTCTGGGTGCTTCTCGAAGAGCTTCTTCATTTCGGCGGGCGTGGGATCGCCTCTGCTCTTCCACGCCTTGTGATCGCGCACAATCTTGCGGAACGTCTCCTTCGAAGGCTTGTCTGTCCGAAGCTCGTCCAGGATCTCCTGGAAGCGCTCCTCCTTGCACCGCCAGGTCTCGGTGAGCTTCACGTGGAAGCAGCGCGGCTGCTTCCATGCGGCACTCTCCCACGGACGCGTCGGCTCGACCCCCGGGAGTTGGTGCTTGTCCCCGAGGAAGACCAGCGCGGGGACTTTCCCAGCGACGCTCCAGAGCTTCAGGATGCGCTCGAAGCTTTCGCAACTCAGCAGCGATACCTCGTCAACCACTACCAAGTCGAAGTCCGTCATCCTGTGAAGACTCTCCGAGATGGGCTCATGCAACTTGAGTGCGGCGTGGCACGTATCGACTGTTAAGCCGTCCAGGCCTTGCAGTGCTTGCTTCATGCGGCTGGACAGCTGCGCCGTCGGGAGGGCGAAGAGCACGCGCGCGCCTTGCTCCTGGGCGCGGCGAATGCAAGACTTGACCACGGTCGTTTTCCCCGTCCCAGGCTTCCCAAGGCAGATGACGGGCGTGTTCTTCTTGTAGGCTTCCTCGCGCGCCTCGTCCGCCTCCTCCCAGTCCTCCGACAGCTCCGCCCGCACGGCACGGTCCACGCGCTCGTTGATCGCCTCCTCCAGCTGCAGCTGCTTGGGGTTGAACTCGACCTCCTCGTCGCCCTCGCCGCGCGCTGGCCTGCGGTTGCCGATGACCGCGGCCTCGGCGTCGGCCGCGGCCTTCTCGTCGGCCTTGTCGATGATGCCCGTCAGGTACATGTTGACCAGCTTCCGTTGCCCCACGATCATGCGATGCACAGCCTCGGTGAACTTGCTGGACTTCGCGGAAGCGCTCATGTAGTCCACGAGCCGCCTGTCATCGGTGAACAAGTCATGGTGCTCTTCAGCGACGCGGCCCTGGTCAGAGCACAGTCGCAGCGCCGCCGCGAGATACTTGTATTTCGGCGGAACCAGGCGATTGACATCCTCGAACTCGAGCTCGTCGAGCGATCAGCCCACTGGCCGTAGTAGCGGTCGTTGAGCTCGTATACCGTGTCGACGCTGGCCACCTTCTCGCCCTGCATGCGGTAGGCTCGCGCGAACTCCTTGAGGTTCGGAAAGTCGCCCTCGCCCTCGCTCTTTTCGTCTCTGTGCTTCTTCGCAAGGAACGCCTCGAAGGTCTTCGGCTGCTCCTCGTCCTCGGCGCCGTCGTCTTCGTGACTGCTCCCGCCACCTCCGCCATCAGCATCGGCCGTGCCTTTGTACTCAGCGCGCAGGAAGCGCCAGTGAGCGTCGAGCGCCTGCGGCTCCTCGCCGTCGCGCACGGTCGCGCGGTACCGCCTGTACAGGGCCAACACCACCTCTTGCTTGTGCTTGCGCTTGAGCCACCCAGCGATGGCGCCGTCGTCAGTAGTCTTCCGAAGCCACTCCAAGAGCGTCATGCCCTCATGGCGCCACGAGCAGTCAGCATACCTCTGGACCCAGTCGGGCACATCCGCCATGCCCGAGTAAGGCGCCGTCACGGTGCGGAAGCCGCCGCTGACCGTAGAGATGTCGTACTGTCTGAATTGCGCTCCACACAGCTGCTGGATCATCTCTGGCTCGTAGGGGTGGTACTCGAAGCAGACGCGCCTGGCCACGCTGTCCGCGGAGGCCTTGTCGCTCATCCACTCGTCGTAGCTGCTGTCCGAGAACTTCGCCACATACTTGGAAACGTATTGCAAGAGCATGGCCTCCCCGTCGCTGGTCTGCCAGTCCTGATGGCAAGGGAGCCCGTCCATCACGTCAGCGCAGTACGCTCGCAGTCCCGCGTCGTGGTCCTCCTCGGTGTGCTTCAACTGGACCACGCCATCGTCGCCATGAACCTCCGACGGGCCTTGGTAAATCGGCCACTTGCTCTCTGCGTCGCCGTGCTTGTTGAGCTGCGATCCGTCCACGTAGCCCTTCAGGTCGTCCGAGAAGCCGTCGGGCTTGGTCGCAAAGAGGTGATGCCCCAATCCCATGTTCGCCATGGCGTCGTCGTCCGCGAAGAAGAGGACGTGCAGGTGCGGTCGGCCGGAGCCGTCGTAGCGCTTCGTGCCCTCCTTGCGGCTGCCGTCCTGGAACTCCAGCCGCGTGAAACTCTGGGCGCGAACCTGTCTGCCGTCGGCGTCCTTCGCGGCGAACACGTGCTTTGTCCAGCTGCGGTCGCTGCGGTCCATCTTCTGGTTGTTATTGCCCGCCAGCATGCCTCGGACGATCTGCATGAGCACGTGCGACATGTGCAGCGTTTCGCCCACGGGGAGGTACCAGTGTCTTCTCCATCTCATCGCGCAGCCAGTCGTGGTACTTGAAGCACGGCTCCCACGGCGCAATGGTGAAGAACAGCTTTGGGAAGCCCACCTGGCGTACGAGGTCGACAAGGGCATTGTGCACCTCCTTCCATTAGAGCGGCGAGAAGGCATGGCCCTTCATGAGCATCCGCATCGGCACGTTGTCGAGGCCCAGGTTCTTCTTCGCACCGAGCGTCGCCCAGAGGTTCAGGTCGCACACGAACTGGAGCAGCTCGAAATTGGATCCGTACCCAAGCAGCGGCGAGAGGCACTTGGTCATGAACGACCGCTTGACGCTGGTGCGCTGGCCTCCGCCGCCGCCGCCCTCGTCTTCCTCGGCGTCCGAGTCGTAGCCGTACTTTGCCTTCTTCTTCTTGGCCTCCTGGGCGTCGCGCCTCTCCTCGCGCCTCGCGTCGGACCACTGCTCGTGCGTCTCCGTCATCTCGGTGCACCAGTGCAGGTTTGGCCAGAGAGCGCACTCCAACCCGACCTCCTGCAGGAAATGATATGGGCGCTTGCGCTTCCTGTCGGCAGCGTCCTCGCCCTGCTTGCGGAGGAACTTCTCGTGCATGTCGTGGAACCGCTTGTACGAGGACTCTTCGCAGTCCAGCAAGTACTTGTGCGCCTTCTTTGCCGTCCGCCGCGCATCCCCATCCAACTCGTGGATCTTGCCCTTCACGTGCCACTTCGAGAAATAGAACGTGATCATCTTCACCTTCTTGCGGTAGCCGTTCGGGCGGCCGAACGCGTCGGTGGAGCGCGTCTCGGGGCCGACGTCGATCTCGATGGGCCGGAGGGCTTCGACGATCTCCTCTGACAGGCCGCGGAGTGGCCCTGGTACGTCATCAGGCAGCGGGACGTACATCTCGCGAGAGGCGTTGCAGCGGCGACAGGCGCTCTTCGAGATCTCCTCGCTGGCGTCGAGGAACATATCGATCTCGTGCATGGGCCGCGGCTGCAAAACATGGCACTCCTTGCAGATGCCCCACGAGCCCTTGGCGGCCCAGGACCGCAGCCCCTTCGACTGATCACTGAAGCCTGCTTCGCCGATCGGCGGCTCCAAGTCTTTGCTCTTTGGGACCTCGTCGGCGCGACCGCGCATCTTTCGCTCGGCTGTGTCCTTGTAGAACGAGTTCTCGACCTTCTTCAAGTCCGCCAGGGTTAGCTTGCGGAACTTCTTCCGAGCTTCCTCGTCGACCGTCGGGCTCTCCATCGCCAGCCGCCGCTTCGCCAGCTTCGTCGGCCAGTCCGTCTCGCCAGTGCGCCTCCGAGCTTTTGCCGCCTGCTGGTTCTGCCGGACAGTCTTCTTCTTCATCTGCGCCACGTAGTTGTCCCCGAAGACGTCCTTCAGGATTGCCTCGGCCTTGGCAAATACGGCTTCGTCCTTCTCGTGGAATGCCTCTAGCTGCTTCAGCACGCCCCTGCGCTTCTCTGTCTGCATGCCACGGAGCCTCTGCGGATCGCACCAGCTGCACAAGTGCTTGTCGGCCTTCACCACGCGCGCGGGCTGCCCTGGGTTCCCTCGCAGAGGCGCTGGCGTCTGCGCCCAGCGGCCGCGCCCTCGCCCTCGCCTTCCGCGGGTACTGGCGGCGGCTCCGCTGCCGCTGCTGGCCCTGCTGCGGCTGCTTCCTCGTCGGGCTCCATGGCAGCAGGAATCTCCTCCTCGGCGGGCTGCGAGACCACGTTGCCCTGGTCACCCTCGATTGGCGGCGGTGGCGGCACGCCCACCTGCGAGCGCTCCGAGATTATGCCGACAGCGCGGGCAATGAGCTGATCGCCCCTCTCGTGCATCTTCGCCCGCTCCACGGCCATGTCGTAGATGCCGATGTCAAGCTTGTGCAGGTTCGCCAGGCTGTGCGCGGTCAGCTTGGACTGCTGCGGCGTCGCGCAGATGGTTGCCATGCGAATGGGAGAGCACCACTGACACTTCCCCTCGAACTTGCCCTGCGCGCGCTTGCCCTTCTCCCACGGATTGAAGCAGCACTCGATGACGATCCCGTCGTCGGTCGCAAAGCCAGAGCAGCGCCGAGGGCCCATCGCCGCGAGAGTGCGCTGTAGGTGGATGCGAAGGCTGATGCCTGCCAACGATGGCTGCCAGGTGCGCGTGCCAAGCGGTGGCGAAATCAGGCTTGAGCCAAAGCGGCAACGGAACCAACGACATCGCGACTGATGTTGCGGTGAGCAAAGGCAGACCCCAAGGCACCACATGCCTCCACCGCGACATGCTGGGACGCATCGCCAATGCATCTTGCACCCAAAGCTCGCACATTGCATCCGCGCTCTCCTGCATTCGCTCACAGACATTCGAACAACGGAGATAACCCTGCATGCCCGACCCCTGCCGTTGAGAACTGCACCGCCCATGCATCTCTCCATCCATTTGAAACACTCCCTGCTCCGAATGACTACTGCAGCACATCGCAAAGACATCTGTCTATACTGTCCTCTGCGAAAGATGTGTTCGAAAATGTGTCCTAGACCTGTGCGCGAGCAACTCGTCCCTGGCAACGCATGTTCATGTCAACAGTGTGCGAGGGGGAGCCAGACCCTCCCCCTCGCTCTCCCCCTTCCAACCTGCGAACATGTGCGCGTGCCATGCCATAAAACACACTCTCCAACACTGCCCGTGCGTCGCCTCTCCTCTCCCGAGTGCGCTCCGCAGCGGGCGCAAAGGCTACAGCGAAGGCGCCGACTGTGGCGCCCTTCAAAGATAGCTCGGAGATAGCGCTCACGAGCGCCCGAGGCACGCCTGGCGTGGGCGCCGGCCGCAGCGGCCGCAGAGGCTACAGCGAAGGCGCCGACTGTGGCGTCCTTCAAAGA